GCTGGCGGAGCTCGGGTCGAGTTTCTTCCCAGCTCCGCTCCAGCCTCGCCGTATAAAACACATCGGTGTGTGACCGCAATGGCAGCCTCGGGCTGTGGGTGTTTGGCAGCCTGCCTGCAAGTCTTTAAGCGATGCAGAGTGGAGTTTCTCTGAAACGTTAATTTTAAAGAACAAAAAGAGTACTCCCACACTGAAAGAGACGAGACGAGAAAGCACGCCTGAACCAAAGTCGCTGGATTTTAGGGCTGCTTCTTTTTTTGGAAACACAAGAAGGGTAGGAAAACGTGGCTGGAAAGTGCAGAAACTCACTTGAGCCGCTAGTCTTGTAGTAACTTTTCTTTACGGAAGAACTGATGGTCCTAGACCTATTTTTCACAAATACTTGTACGCTTCTGTCTTCCAAGATGTTACAGTTCTTGCTTGCACTTCACGCACTTGTTAACTACCCTGCAACTTTGGCAGAGAGGACAGTGTTCAGATTTTTGCTGAATATGCCTTCTTCATTACTCAATCACTTGGTTTGCTGTTCAAAATATAACACAACGCGACTAAAATACTATGTTCTCAAAATTCAAAGAAGTCAGGCGCGGAACGTCATGGTAGGAAGTTAAATAATTAAACTTTATGAGGAGGGTCAGCTGTAAATGGTTTGTTTTAAGAAAAAGTTTATTTTAAGGAAAGTGAGAGATTGATTATGACAATGAAAAAATTCTCTACCATAAAAGCCTCTACCAAAGGCAGAACATCTAATGTAAACTCTGATGGTGAAATGTGTAAAAAAGGTGCTTATTTTGTGCTTTGATATGGAAGTAGATAAACTTATTCATCAGCTGACTTTGGATGTTGGACTTGCTGGTACCCAGTACTTTGGATCAGATAACATACGGGCTGCTAAGTAGCTCTTGATCTAAATCTTGAGTGTAAAGAGTTAATGCACTTAGCCGTCATGTTTTTCTTAGTCTCTGTAGTACACTTTTTCTGTTCTCTTACCTAAAAGTGGGGTCTTTGACATTCTTAGTCCTTTACATTTATGCTGACCTGCTAGCTAAATGGTATACTAGCTTAACTACACAGTATTACATATTTCTGAGCTTGTGGACACGTTGGTTTTGCTTCACCTCAACAAGCGTAGAGTTCAGGCTGACAGATATAATATCTGGAACAACTTCTGAATGTTGTTAATGCAACATATAAAATAATGTAGCATATTCCATACGTATTTCAGAGATCGATTCTTTTTGTCTATTACTAGTTCAAGAAATGCAGTCTCCCCAAAACAGCATAACACAATGTGACTTGCCTCTCTACCATAATTTTCTCAGCAGTGTTGAATGCCCTTTCTTTCTATAGTGGCATGTTTTGGAAACTTTTTATCTTATTTGTCACCTCCTGCCAACCCACCTTTGGGGTTTTGTATTTAAACAAGATTTCTCTGCTATGACATAGTTGTCCTCTGCTCTTCACTCATTAACAGATTTTCTTCACCTTGTGAATTCGAATGCTATGGGCCATATTTGCACTTTAGAGCAATTTTGTGACAATTTGCAAAGCTAGACAATCGTATAATATGGGATGGGGATTGTTCTGTGATGATGCTCAGGCACTGAAAATGTTACACTTTTGTCAGTGCATTGCTCATTGAGCTGTTACATTTTGCTTTTCAGCAGAACTAGCTGAAAATTTGTGTAGCCATGTTCTCAAAGTTAGCTTTGTTGGTACTTGCTTATGGGTTGAGGCACCACATTCCACTGCATGTGAGGTTTTTTGCATTTTTTTGGATTCTTCAGAGCCTGGTTGTAATAGTTGTTATCATTTTGCTCTCCTTTTTAGAAACTTCTCCGTTCTTCACACACTAAGCTCTCCTGTAGAGAAGCTATTCTCAGGTGCTCTTGTATCATGGAATATAAATATTTAAAGAGTATCTGTTGTTTCTGCTGTGGAAGAAATCTGACCTCTTTCTGACACTGAATGAGGGCAGATCCACACAAAGGCATCCTTGAATAAAGCAGCTTCATATGGTCAGGAGGAGTTCTCAGTTCCTACCTGTATAAATTATCTAAACCATCATAGTCTGTTAGGAATTAAATATGTTTGTTAGGGATAGTTCCTCAATTTTTTTCCACTTTTATTGGTCAAAATTGGGAAGATGACAACTCTGGAAAGTTATCATATTTAATTATTCAGTTTTCTGCATCATTTGAAATTACCTTAGTTTGAGGTTAGTTATCATTTAAAATATGAAAGGAATTTCTTTGGGTTTTTCTTTTTTTTTAAAAAAAAGGAATTTTGAGAAACAAGCTTCAGGAAACTTGCTATGGTAGTTCAAAGTGTCACCACTCATTTAATCTGCTCATGGAGGCAAGTTAGCAGTAGGGAATATCTGTCTACATCTCAGCTGCTCTGATACAAATGCAGTTGGGTTTTTGTAGCTTAAGCTGCTGATCAAAACGTGAGCTAAGATCATGTGAGCCTATGAGCTGAGGTGATAGTCAACATTCGTTCTGCAAGGGTTGTGATAGTCTCTGGAGAAGAGATTGGTATGTAATTAACAACCATCCCCTGTCCCATGAGATATGCACAGATATTATTCCCCTATTCCATACCAGCCCCCCCACCGCTGCTTCCCCGAATAAGAACAGTTGATGACTTGGGCTCCATCTCTGGAGGTGGTCACTTGGGACAGGGCAGGTGGCATGTTGGACTGTTGGGTGCCAAGACCCACTTGGGCTGAGTCACCACCACACTCACCCAGTTCCTCATGAGGCTCCATCCTCCTGTGGTTCGAGCGGTTCCTGCTGTACTGTTCCTGTAACACACAACTTAAATCATGGCTTATTTCCCCCCAAGTTTAAATCTCCTTGAGATACGCACTGGATTTCCCCATCCTTCCACATTACCCACCTTCTGCAATTGAGCAAACATAATCCCACAAATGGCTTTGCCTTTTCCCAAGGGAGGAGCAACCTACACAGCCTTTTCCAGCCACTAACAAGCGCTGGACCCTAATATGCGGTAAAGTAAGCAAGCTCAGTGACCGGCACAGGAGCCTGCCAATTAACAACTATAGGATGCTCAGATCAAAGCTGTCATTGTCTTTAGCCCTGCGCTGGGCACTGAGAAGGGCTGTGGTGTGCTGACCCTGCCCAACAGCTTAACACGCACCCAGTGACTTGCTCACTCCCCTCTCCCACAGAATGGGGAGAAGATAGAAGGAAGATGAGAAGATCCGTGGATAGAGATAATGGCAGTTTAACGGGGAAAGCAAAAGCTGCACGCTCAAGCAGAGCAAAAAGAGGAATTAATCACTACTTCCCATCAGTGGGCAGACGTTCAGCCACTTCTGGAAAGCAGGGCCTCAGCACGCTTAATGGCTGTTTGGGAAGACAAACGCAATAACCATGGACATTCCCCCTTCCTCCTTTTTTCCCTGAGCTATTTTTTGCTGAGCGTGATATCACACGGTACAGAATATCCCTCCCAGAATATCCCTCCCGTCAGTGGGGGCCGGCTGTCCTGGCTGTGTCCCCTCCCAACCTCTTGCCCACCCCAGCCTAGTGGGTGGGGGGAGAGGGGTCAGGGCAGAGTGGGCAAGAGAGAAAGCCTCGATGCTGTGCAAGCACTGTCCAGTAATAGCCAAAATATTGGTGTGTTATCAGCAGTGTTGCAGCCAAAAATACAAAGCATAGCACCATACAGGCTGCTGTGAAGAGAATGGCAGCCAGACTCGGTACATCATGCTACCAGGGAGGTTGTAAATCCATAAACTCATAAAATAAAATTGCCCAAAGCTTGCTGGTGAAAGGCCTTTACCTGAACAACTACTGTTGTTCGCAGTAGGATTATTGTAGCTGAATAACTAAGGGAGTTTTAAAGCTTTTGCATCTTTGTGCGCTTGGCTGCATGGTTTGTGTAAGCTTTACCGTTTCACAGCTAAGTGTGCATACAAAGAAATAAACATGCACATGATCACACAGTTACTCTCCATTGTTTGTTCCACAGAGCAACGTCAGAAAGAGGAATATTCTCTGTTTCTTTCTCCTGCTTGAAGAGTAGAAAGCAGGATTGTAAAATGATGGAAGTACTTGATACTTCTATTTAATTTAGTGACAATTACAGGATATTAAGCTTCCAGTTCCTGAAAGTGCTCACTAGAGAACCCAGTTTCCTTGTTGTGGGATCTTTTTGTGTAAAAGAAATTGACAGTTAAATGAATATACTTAACAGGTAGGACATTCTTTGTTTGCTTTTAATGTCCTATCCTGTTATGTTCTTACAAGACTTACTCATGCTTGAAATTGGTCCTTATTTTCTGTCAATCAGCAGAGCTGTGGGATGTTAGCGAGGCAAGCACTGGAATTTCATAGCTTGATGTGTCTTGCTGCTCTAACTTGCAGGTTTCCTTATGTGCAGTGGTCTTGCATTTTTATTTTTCTATGAGTACTGTGTCGTTGCTGCCCAGATATGTAAAATGGGGGCAGATGAAGTGTGAGAAGATGGAAAAGTGAAAGACATGATGTTTTGACGTCATGGGGCTGACTGAATATGACACACTCTGAATAGACAGGCTGCTGCTAGGGAAATGGCTTGCCTTGGTTATACATAAGGGGTAACTATGTGTTTCTTTTTTTTTTTTTTTCTCTCCCCCCTTGCTAGCAGTGACAAGACAACATTTGGGCCTCTGCAGTCTCTCTCCCAGTTTTCTTGGGTTGTTCTGGCCTGTCCACAATGTTTCTGTAGCTTTCGTGGCTCTGGATGGCTAGTGAAGAGGGATGTTCAGTCTAATGGCAAATTGCTGCAGCTGGTTAAAACGGTGGCAGGAACCTGTCAGGTAAACATGTGAAAGTATTTTACATTTTTGTGCTGACCTTCCCAAACTGTATTTTGTGTCCTCTCGCCTATGTTTTACTTTATTTGCTATATAACATTGTTTCATATTTTTTAATTCCAAGACAAAAATCCATCATTTTTTTCTCCAAGAGAGAATCAATACATCTTCTGAACTTAAAAATGAAGTGTTAATCATCTCTAACTCAGGTACTTTGTTTCTGACTCCAAGAAAGTATAAAGTTCAAAATATTGTCCTTTGCATACTCTTTCTTCAAGTTGAGCATTACGGAGTGATGCTAGAATGTTTATGTAAAGTTTATTTGGTCTTTGTCATGTTGATTTAGTTTCTGCATTTTGAGATTCTGAAGTGTAATGTGTTAAAACACTTCGTTGTCAAGAGAAGACTGTAGCCCCAGTGTAATACTCGTTTTCTTACTGTTATCTAAGTATCTTAATACTGCATTTTCTGGGTAGTCTGGTGATCCGTTCTTGCTTATGGAATTCTACTGTTCTCCTTTGTTTCTGTTACTTTTACTTTGACATCCTGCATCCTTTTCCCTCCAATTAGCAGAGGTGCACAGATAGTGCATAGTTTGTTTCAAACTATTTACAAACTATGATGAAGGGAAATAAAGGGTACACCACACTTATTTATACTTCATATTCATGCAGGAGGGTTTGCTTTTTTCTTCAGTGCTACATAGTTTTAGTTTTACAGAAGGTGCTGCTGTTCAAAGAACTATATTGGATTGAATAGCTTTCTGACACCACCAATGTATTATAGACAATTGTGAGTTTATAAATCATGGAATCATAGAATCGTTTAGGTTGGAAAAGACCTTTAAGATCATCCAGTCCAACCATTAACCTACACTAAACCAATTAAGGGTAGACTAGACTAAACCGTGTCCCGAAGTGCCACGTCTACCCGTTTTTTAAACACTTCCAGGGATGGTGACTCCACCACCTCTCTGGGCAGCCTGTTCCAATGCTTGACTACCCTTTCCGTGAAGAAATTTTTCCTAATATCCAACGTAAACCTCCCCTGGTGCAGCTTGAGCCCATTTCCTCTCGTCCTATCGCTAACTACTTGGGAGAAGAAATGTTCATGGCTGTTCTGATTTTAGCTTACAGTTAAACTACAATTTACTCTGATCCTACTGTTCATTTTTAGGTTATTTTCTCAGAGCTTTTTGGCTCTTCTGAAAGAACTTGCATAAATTATACTTCATATATGATGCTATAATAGTTTTAAAACTGGAAATAACAATGTTTTTAGTATTCCTTCACTTAAAAGGGGCATAAAATTGAGAAAATTCCTTTGACTCCTCTGAGTCTTTGTGAATAGGAGGAACAGTTGAGATGTACACATAGATAGGTTTTTCCTATTGCTTTGCTTAAAATCCTATCCTGGTATAAATTCTAACCTGTATACCAGTTTGCTAATATATTGTAAATACTCAACACCACTGGTTTGCACATTTGCAGTCTAGATTGCTCCTGCTTGAAACAAAGGCACGATGAGTACCAGTGCCACTTATTGACAGCATCTGATGTTGTCTACACAAGTGTTGTATACTGTATAGTGTTGTTCAGATGCACCGGTTGAGACAGAAATAAATTTCTAGTATAGGCACAACTTTGAGGCAGAGAGACAGTAAAAATACAGGGGAGTGGAAAAGAAATTACAGAAATTGTTAAAGAGACCATGGCCACACCAAAAAAAAACAAAGGATAAAATTTGCAGTACTGTGAAATTGAATTTCAGTAGGCAAATACAAGTCGAAAGCAAAATCATTGTCTCATGTGAAACTTAAAGTACACTATTAGACTTCTCATTTCCTACCTTGTTCTGCTGTTCTGTCTAATCAGATGGTTTGACATATTGAACATGAGATACACAATTGTAACGATACCTGCTACTTGGTATTTTGATACCTATTCTTTCTACTACTTTATGGTAAATTTGCTATACATGTATTAAAAAACTTAACAAAAGTAAGTGATGTCTAGCTAGCGGAAAGAAAAGATTTGAAATATCTTTCCTTTTTTTTTTTTTTCTTCCTTATGGAGGAAGGTGACACTAATAATGGTGGGTCTTGATAATGCTGGTAAAACTGCTACAGTCCGAGGAATTCAAGGAGGTAAGCAATTAATTTGTTTATCATCAGCATTGAAAGAGAGAGTATAATTACTGATTTTCCATCATTTTAATCTAAATATATTTCTTCACCCCTTAGTTTATCTCTCCTTCCCATATTGCTGAAGGAAAATTTTGGTGATTGTACCACCAAAAGTGGTACAAATGTGGTTGCCAAAGTGAGCATGTCACAGGCCCCATGGTGTGAAGACCTGTAGATGAGAGAAAACTTAAGGGGTCTTACCTTTGAAACATAAAGATCCTGATGTTTGATATCTGGCAAGTCATGCTAGGGTGACCTTAAAAAGTAGGTGCTCCCAGTCATGTGTACTGTATGCTCAGAAGTAGCAGAGCAAAGTCTGCATTTGCTTGCTGGCCACTGCAATCAACATTGTATTAAGCTCAGTGGTAGTTCAAAAAAGTTGCTACTATTCTGCTACATATTTTTCAAAGGTGATGGTATGGTGTAGAGGCAAGGTAGATAGTATGGAGAGAGCTGCCTCATAAGACGTTGCACCATGCAGCATTAGAGCCCTTAGTCCACTGAGACACAAAAAAATCAGTCCGTAGAGGTGTTTAATTATCTTGGAAACACTAAGACCAAATGTTCAGAGTACTTTGGCGCTTATGTGCCCCGAGTTGACCACTATTGTTAACTGTGCAAAATGCTAAATTGCAACAAAATATGTTGTGGAGGGTTGACCCTGGCTGGGTGCCAGGTGTTCACCAAACCAGGTCTATCACTCCCCTTCTCAACTGGACTGGGAAGAGAAAAAATATAACGAAAAGCTTGTGGATCAAGATAAGGACAGGGAGATAACACAGCAATTACCTTCACGGGCAAAACAGCCTCGACTTGGGGAAATCAGTTTAATTTATTACCAGTCAAGTCAGAGTAGGAAAATGAGAAATAAAAACTAAATCTTAAAACACTTTCCTCCCACCCCTCCCTTCTTCCCGGGCTCAACATCGCTCCCGATTTCTCTACCTCCTCCCCCTGAGCGGCGCAGGGGGACGGGGAATGGGGGTTGGGGTCAGTTCATCACACGTTGTCTCTGCCGCTCCTTCCTCCTCAGGGGAGGACTCCTCACACTCTTCTCCTGCTCCAGCGTGGGTTCCCTCCCACGGGAGACAGTCCTCCATGAACTTCTCCAATGTGGGTCCTTCCCACGGGGTGCAGTTCTTCACGAACTGCTCCAGCGTGGGTCCCCTGTGGGGTCACAAGTCCTGCCAGCAAACCTGCTCCGGTGTGGGCTTCTCATGGGATCAGAGCCCCCCTCCCCCCCCCAAACCTTGCCATGCAAACCCAATACATCTGTTCTGGGTTCTTGTTTAAATTTCATGATCGTCATAGTGTATTTTTGGACTAGAGGAAGGTTTTTTTGGTAGTTCAATAAATAGCTGAAGGAATATTGTAATTATGAGCAAGCTGTCTGTCTCCATCAGTTGCTTTAAGTGAAAGAAAGTGTAGGACAAAAACTCTGAAGGCTGTAGACCACATTCTGATTAATAATTACTTTGAATTAAGGCAATGATACAAACTATTCTGGTTAATGATGTGTTTCATGTCTTTGTATACATTAGAGAAATCAACGGACCTGATTTTTTTTTTTTCTTTCTTGTGTGCATGTGCTGAAGTTGCTTTCAGGTGACCATCCAGTAACACGCATACATCAGTAAACTGTATATAAAAATTAGTGTTGTAAGTATGTATAATGAGGAAAAGGTTCAAAAGAAGGAAATTGCATGTGTATGTATATAACATAAAGGATGGTTCTAGTGATACATATTTTATATCACTATTTATCACCAGAAAAGCACTAGCAATTTTCTAGGCACTTACTTCAGTAAGAGACCACTTGATTTTGGAGGGTACTTTGCACCATCCAATGACACATGCAGGCAGGATATAATTTGAGGTAAAACTTGTCCTTATAAAAACAAAAATTCTCTGTGTGTCCCCTCCCACCTTGTGGGATTGTTTTTCTAAATAACTTTCATCTTGTGTAGTAACAAGAGAGTACTTAGTAGTGGTTTGGCAGACTTTGGAGACTCCACCTTGACTTTCTGTTTACGTGTGTTATGTAAGTTCACAGACTTGCTAAAGTGTGAATGAAGTTATGAATATTCTCTCATTTATATGCCTGAATCTTTGCCCTGAAAACATGAGTGCTTTGTTATTTATCCTTTCATTCTGTTTCAAAATCAACTTTAATGCCTTTATCAGCTGTGACAGTTATTTCTGAAAGTCATTTTTTTGTGCAAAAAGATGGGATAAAGATGGGTATTCCTAAAGGGATCTCCAGGAAAAGATAGTTCTGATTTATGTGACTGTTTCCCAGGTCTTGAATAGTGCTTGCTTTAGAAAGCAATTGTTTTTTCCTTAACAGAGCTTGCAGAGATTAGAACCTTCAGTTAGTCTTCAGGGTTGAAAAAACCACTATTTTTGGCTGTACACCAGCCATACAGCCTGTAGGAGGAGACTGCAGTTATGATTGCTGGGTTTTAGCAGAAACTAAGTACATTTCAGTTCTTAGGACTCTTAAACGTAGGCAAATCAGCATGGTCACCGAAGTCGTATTTGCCAAAATGGATCTGCAGCTTATATGGCAGACCCTGATTTTACATTGAAGACTGCTTATTATTGGAGATCTCACTGTACAATAGAAACAGATGTTTCAGCAACATCCCCTTACATTCAGCACCATCAATAACTTTAACCCTTAACCAACCCTCACGTTCCCATTGTTCTCTCTTGTAAGAGCACATACATAACGGCTCACAGTGCAAAACATTCATCAAAATAAAGTCATCGAGTTTTGAAGCTGTAGTTTTTCACAAATGGAGGTCCCGAACCCTTCTGTTGCTGGAGTCTTGGCTTACACTGCTCTGGCCAAGGGGTCTGTTCTGAGTCCCCATCTCAGCTGTACGTGAAAGATTCACTCAAAAAAGGAATGTGGTAGCAGAAGGCTGGTGGTGATTTAGCTTCTGCACTGCTCTTCAGAGCTCAGTGATTTTGACCATGCCTTCATTTCTTCCTCTCAACGACATGAATTTTACATCTCTTTCTCCTGCCTTGTGCTACCAAGCTACGTAAAATAGTTGCAGAGATCCAGTATACTCACCCCTGCAGAGACAGCTTAGTGGTGTGAGGCAAGTACAGGCTTTCTTTGCCCTCTGGAAAGGGAGACAGCAAGCAAAAATATTAAACATAAAACTATAGTTTTTTAGCATATTGCATGGCAAACTAAAAATCAGAAAATAAAAATAAAGGCCAAAACCTGCTCTTGAATAAAGGGAATCAAGTAGCTTACATCTCAGAAGAACATGGTTTCGGTCACTTCATCTCAGCCCTTGGTTTGAACTTTTGAAGCTGTTTTGGCAACCATGAGGGGTAAAGAATAAATTTGGCAGAGCACAAGGCTTCCCAGGTCATAATGCATTAACGGTTTTGTTTGTTTTCCTTCTCAAACTTGGATTAATAGCATGCAAATGCTGTATAACTGTTCAGATGGGAGCATTGGTGGTGAGGGGGAAAGTAAAAACTGCAGTACACTGAACACCACTGCAATTTAACTGTGGTGTTAAATATTAAAAGATTTTTGGCTCTTTTGGGGTTTTTCCCTCCCCGCCCCCCCGGTGCTCCTATCTAAATTAATGTCAAGTAACTGGTTGAGAGACTAGTGTGTTAATTTGAAATTACCTGAGGAGAGGGAAAATCTTCATGTAAAAAATATGTGGTTAGCAATATGGTGTCACTTAACAGGGAGGGTTTGCTCCATGTTTTTAAAATATGAATTTTGCTACACAAATCGCAATGTAAAATCCTCTTTAAATAACTAAGGACACTTTTTAGTGAAGGCTTTTTTCTTTGAATTCTGACAGAGTCTCCTGAAGATGTGGCTCCAACAGTTGGGTTTTCCAAGATTGACCTTAAACAGGGACGTTTTGAAGTCACCATCTTTGATTTAGGAGGTGGAAAACGAATTCGAAATATCTGGAGAAATTACTATGCTGAGTCCTATGGTGTAATATTTGTTGTGGATTCCAGTGACGTTGCAAGAATGGAAGAAACAAAGCAAGCCATGATAGAAGTTTTAAACAGCCCTAAGATATCAGGAAAACCCGTGTTAGTGTAAGTAATGTTAATAAATGTTCTCCTAATAATCTGAAATTTTGACCTTCAATACACTTTCTAAAGAAGTATTTATCCATAGTATAAACATAAGTATAAAGTAGACTAATACTACTGTAACTTTAGCACTAAGCAATATTACAATTTCTGAAGTATTTATTTATGCCAATCTTAGTGTCATACTAGTCAACAAAATCTTTTCTTCCTTTCTTGCCCCTTTCTTGCCCCTTTCTTCCCCTCTTGAGTTGTACATGGTGATATATGGAATCCATTCACTGCACCTGACATTAGATCTTATTTAGTCCTTCTCAGTGATATTTATTTCTCTTCTATTTCATTAGCAGTGAAAAAATAGTAAGTTGTCTTTTTTTTAAAACTTTTTAAAATTCTAATATTACTCAAAATGGTATGATAGGTTAAAGGCTTTGCAAGTTTGGCATGGCAACGTGGTGTAAAAATAGTGTTACTATTTAGGCTTACATCAATTACTTAAATTGTAAATGGCTGATTATATTCTGCAGTACCAGTAATGTCTTAGCAATAAATGTCTTGTTTACTTAACACATGGTGGTGCTGCTGATACATGGTCAGCAAAATCTCATTAAAGAAGGCTTACTTTAACAGTATTTGGCATGTGCTTTTGTTTCCATGCATGTGTTTTAATAAAAAAAAAAAGTTACAGTTTCAAAAGGTCTAGAGACATTCTTTCACAGAACAGATAGATTCACAAACTTCTCTGCTTAAAAACTAGGTTTTGTTAAATACTGGAAATAACATTTTATTAAATTCAGCCACACAGAAGGTCTTTGAGGACCAACACCCTTTTGAAGTTAGGTGAAATAAACTATGGAAGTTTAAAATGGTTTATCAGAACAATCTCTTTATGTCTGGTGGGCATAAGACATCCATAATGCAGTAATTACACAACATTTCTGTGATATTATAAAGAATCTGTAAAGCTAAGAGGACAGGCCTCTGACTTCAAGAAGTAGTGATGCTCTGGTGGTTTGAGGGTGAAACTGGCTAATCTGTTTTGATCTAGTGGAGTGTAGTCCAGCAAGCTGATAGTGTATATATTGAAAAATAGATTACATTTTAACTTCCATTGCTATCTGAATGTTATTAGTACAGGGAAGGCAATAAAACCAACTTAATGCAGCTAGTTTAACTCAAATCTGTTCTGAAAATGCAACCGTAACAGTTGACAACTGTGTAGTGTTTCTAAATAAATACAGTTTCAGGGGTTTTTTCATAGAAATCTCTACGCCCTAATCCCATAATAGAGTTTATTTGGGTGGCTGGCTCTACCTTGAAAGAGCCCACTTACTTCCCTGGGACTTGATCTTGCTTTTCAATCTGTCAGTAGCTAATCAGAAGGCAGAGTGTATTAACTGAGTCTAATGGTGACTAAACTAAGTTTGTTGATGTTATTGCCTTCTAATTGATTGAGCCTCAAGCCTGAGAACAGAATTTGCTCCTGCAGTGTCCCAGTTCTGTGGAGGGATCCAGTAGTTCTTTGGTTTATGCTCCCTATACGAGCCTGCTTTTCGAGTTATGAATTCTTTCCTGTATTGTCTTTGCTTTCTCTTTGGTGTCTGTGTTCACTGGCATAGCTATGCTACACTTGGCATGTTCAAATCATGTAAACTGTAGAATTTGTTCCAGTATTTGAAGCACTTCTTATATTGTGAAGCCTGCAAGTTCTGAAGCAGTAAGGCTTGGTCAGCAAGCACTAGTGTTTGTGGTATGGAAACTGAGTGCTTAGCAAGTGAGATTAAACTGGTCCCATGCACCTTCCCTTCCCTGAAGATGCCTTTGGTTGGAGATACAAATCCCTGTCACTCATACTTGCCAAATAAGAGTTCTGTGGCATAAACTTTTCTTCCCTTAAGTCCCTAAAACTGAAAACTGAAAATGTATCAAGAGCAGAATAAAGGAAAGAGCAGATTGCCAAATTTGTGGTGAAAGTTAGCCTTTTCTAATATTTTTGTCTTCTAAGGATGTTCGGCTTTCGGTAGTTTTTTGTTGGTTGTGTTTGTTTGTTTAATAGTGAGATACTTGGTATCCATGTAGCAATAAGTTCCCTGATATCTTGCTAAGTTTCTCATTAGTGCATTTTAGTCTATGCATGTATGTGTGAAGGCCAGTATTTACTGAAAACAATACAGTGACCTCTGAGTATTGAATCCAGGCAAGTTGAAGTTTACTTTAAGTAATTCCCTTCTCTCCCATGCTCTTGCAGTGCAGAGCACAATCTATTTTTCTTTTCATAGAATACTGTTACAATTTCATGCCAGAGGACAGAGATTCCTCCTCTGTGATTTGCACACTCCACAAGTGTGTCTCTGGTCAGGACTACTGCTTTGTTCTTCCAGCACTTGAAAGAAACAAGAAGCAGAAAAACAGGTGTAATCTGTTTACTCTTTGCTGTCTGTAGGTACACAGATTTCTCTACTATTTTATTTGTATGCTTAAATAAAAAGTGCTTATTCATTAATGTTTTATTAATTACCAATTATAATCTTAAAAACTAATAAAAGAAACTAAACTGTAAACGAAAGGAAAGGAGTGAGCTATAACTTCGAAGTGTGTGTCTGCTGAAGAATGATGAAAGAGGTATTGGTGACTTGATCAGAATGAAACAACTAAAATGTTGATACTGGATATTCATGTTTCTTTTTAAGCATAGATTGAACCAATGTACCAAAATTTCAACAGTCAGCACTGAATTTTAGTCTAATGTTATTTACCCTAACTTGTGCTATATGCAGTATCTTGTACAATAAAGTACATATAACTATGCTGTAAGATTGGATGCAAGTCCATTCTGGATTTTGAAGGCAGCAGCAGAAGTTGCTGTATATGCAGTATCAGGTGTATCATTGTGTGTACCTAGCATCTGCTTGACTTTGAAATAACCTGCTTGTTATGCCTTTTTTTGTTTTGCCTTTTTTTTTTTTTTGCCCCCTTTTTTGCCCTTTTTGCCTTTTTTTTTTTTGCCTTTTTTCTTTTTTTTCCCTTCTTTTCTCTGTGTACTTCTGGTAGATAATAATAAAAAAGACAGAATTACCTTTTTCTTTTGCATTTATGGGCTTTCATCTATCTGGACAAAACTAATTTTGTCATTTGGATCAGGGAAAAATAAAATCTTCATGACTGGTAGCTAAGATGGACCTTTCAAATAAACCATTGCTCATCGGACAATTAAATTCGTGTATTTGTAAAGGAACATTCCAGTTATCAGGTTATCAATATCATGTTTGTGGCTGTGCTCTGTAATATTTTCCTTATTAGTTAATAAAACTTGGAAAGAAGTGATACTGGAGTGGTAGCAGTGGTAAGGAGGCAGGAATTTGCCTCTGAACAAGAATTCTGATCTGCCAAAGTTCTCTTCCTAATCTTCCTTTATACCATGAACTTCCTCAGCATATATAAAAGAAAAACTTGAAACAGAAATTGCATTCCCTGTTAGGTAAATTAATGCTTACTAGAACTTTCATCCTGTTTTACTTGTAGAGTTCCTGCTGTTCAGAACATTAGGATTTGGATTAAGAAGAGTGCTGTTGATGAATGCTTTTAGAAAATTGGTTGCTCAATGATAATTCCGAGAGGAAATAAAATAGAATTTGTATAGCTCTGTACTAATGAATAAACACATTCCCTAATATACTCACCTTTTCTTACATACTCTGACCTCTCTCACTAGTTCCTGAAGTCTTACCCTCTTTTTCCTTCTCTTCCCTTCCTCCATTCAGCACTTCCTCCCTGGCTGGGGAAGTGCATGCTGTGTTTGGTTGTGGTGCAAGAAGCGAAGTACTCAGTTGTCTGTTGCCTTTGAGAATAGGTGAAGTGAATGAATCAAAACTAGTTTGGGCCGCTCTCTTCTACCTGTATGAATTTAATATAGGTCAGCGGTACGCTTATTGTAGGAGAGAACTGTCCTTGCAAAAATGGTCTAAAAAAATAGCGGGTAAAAAACTTTTTCTACTCAGGTAAGCAAATTTTGATGTGATGTAATGGGTAAAATACATGCTGAATCATGAAGTTCCTTTATCTAAATGTATCTCCTTTTTATCTTTAAAGATTTAAAAAAGAAAACAACATATCCTAATTTAGATAATGGTATGTTTCTTCCTGTAAAAAGATAACGTTGTTTATAACTATGGGGTCTGATTCAGTACAGTCGAAACATCTCTGATAGTAACATTTAAATAAAAGTATTCTCCAGTTGTTTGCTGTTAGGCGATGGCAGGTTTGTCCACTGCTCCATATATTCCTTCAGTGCTCTGTAGATTCATTCAGTTTCAAGAGCTTCTCATTTGCTGATGTGGAGTTGGAGTTTTAAAAAAAAAAAACAACCAAAGAAACAAAAAAAACGACCTCCCCCCAAAAAACAAAAAAGAACACACATAAAAAAACCCCCGAAACCAAAAAACCCCAAGAATAGCAACAGACTTCAACAGTGATACACTTAATGGTCACCAGGAAAGGCTTGGGAGTCTTTGACACACAGTCCTTAATGAAAATAGACAAATTAAACTTCCCCCCTGCCAGTTTGAACAGCACAGTAATTATGTTGTTTGTCTACACTGAGAGATTTAGTCATTCACTCCCTCCCCTCTCACCCCCTTTTTTTTGTTGTTCTTTGGGTGCTGTCACCACAATGAGACATACTGTGTATGTCACTACATACACTATTTCTATTATTTATTTGAATAACAGAACATTTCCCCACCATATCTTCCCTATTTTGTTTTACATCTGCCAAAACAAGCAACAGTCCTTTATAAAACCACTGGCAATTAATGTCAATTTATGTCACTGCATGTCTTCTTAGATGTCTTTTGTTCATAATCAACTTTATACTGTGAGTAGTGCTAGCAAGATACTGCCATGAATTATCATGGGTGGATAGGTCTCATTTCACAATGAAGAACAGGATCCATTACTAAAGAGTTTGACATGCAATCTTCATTACAGAGCAAAGTAGAGCTGGAGTCACTG